GAAACCCTAACCGAAGTAAAAGCAATTTAAACTGCAAGAAGCATTTTTTTCTTTTTTTTTTTAGCTTATACTATGTGAATGGGAAAATGTAACAAATGCAAAACAGGTGTTATCCCAATTTGGCTGCGAAAGTGGAAATACACTTTAAGCTGGTGGCATTTAACAATAAATGTAATTTTTTTCCATTATGAAAGCTTTTACAAAGTATATATATATAAAAAAAAAATAAAGTAGATTTGCAGCATGAGATTACTACAATGTATAATGCAATCAACACAACCGTTCATAATCTGTTTTCATAAATGAATAACTTTTTTAACATGTGCCTGTAGTTCTGTTTTAAAGTGTCACTGCATTTATACCACTAGAGATCTTTAAGATGAAAGTAGAAGCAGAAATACTGTAGTTCAAATTGATCGACTGAACTAATTCTACACGGAACTGTTTTAGGTTTGGTGAGTCTTTTTACATTCAGTGACAGGGAACAAGTTTGGACTCTCCAATAACCCCATCATTTGCCTGTTTGTTTTTAGTCAGTTTCAGTCTCGGTGTATTAATCTTATGCAGAGGTTCCAAAGTCTGGTTTCAGGACCACTGCCACTAAGAAAAATAGCATACGCGTGCCTATCAAATTTAGCTGGGAAAAAGTATTAATTTACATTAAATTAGAACTTGAGGCAATATTTTTTTTCTAGTTTTGGATAGAGTAAGGGAGGGTTATAAACCCTGTCAGCCATTATGGCCATCTGTATCTCACTGGTGAGATTTGTTTTCCCTTCCTGTCCAATAGCCACAAAAGGAAGTAAGAGGAAATCTCTCTGAAGAGAGGGAAACCCCTGGTGCTCCCCATTAAAACTTTCCCATCTATTCCGGTCCTGATGACAACTCCAAAATTATGATTTTCTTTCACTTGTAGTGATATTGGACACCAGAAGAAATAGAGAGGGTGAATCTCCCTAATGTGGACACAGAAAGCAATACAAACCAGACAGGTGTTTTAATCCCTCTCCACGCTATCCAATACGAAAAAAAAAAAGTTTTGGCTTCAGCTGGTTTGTGCTTTAATTCAGTTAGTGGTACTCAGTGGCGGAACTACTGCCAGTGCAGGCGGTGCGGGCGCCCGGGGCCTCAGGCTCTCGGGGGGCCCAGCAAGTTGCCGGCCGATAGATCGTTATCCAGCGCGCGGCGGGCCCCTGGTCTCTCCGCCGGGAGTGTCGGATCATCTGAAAGGGGGGGGTGTGTTTTGGGGGTTTTTTTGGGGGGGGGGGGGGGGCCAAAAAAAAATCTTGCACCAGGGCCCTTTGTTCCTTAGCTCTGCCACTGGTGGTACTTTTATGGTGTGGTGAACCCAAGAATCTAACATTAATATGTTTGTGTAGCTGATTTTGAAGAGGTGTGTGAAAGGATAAGGTTCTAAAAAGAGAATTGTTCATTTGACCTATAAAGTATCTAGCATCATGCAGTACACAGTGTACTTATATACATCATGATCTCTGTTCTCTTTCTCCTGTCAGGGGCAGTCATGCTGTTTCTGGAGCTGTGGTGCTGAATGTCAGCTGCATATTCATAGAATAGTCCTGAACTTTACAGGCCTCCTCCTGGGGAGATGGGGCATGAAAAAAGATTGCTGTAGAAGTAAACATATTGCAGCAGGTGCTGTACATAGCAAAGATAAGATAAATGTTCTCTTTAAAGGAGAACTATGGGGTCAGTGTTTTCCCCCATAGTTCTCATTAGGGTAACGGGAGGACACAAACTAGCGTCCTCCCGTTACCCTAAGCTCAGTATACAGCGAGCTACAGCTCGCGGTATACCGAGACGCCGCAGCCGGAGCGGATCCCGACGTAGATGACGGGATCCGCCCAGCTGCGTGAGTGACAGCTGGCTCTGCCTATCTAGAGGCAGAGCCAGCTGTACCCGCCCCCTCCCCCTGTCCGTTCCGCCAGTCAGTGCTGGCAGATCGGAGCGGGGAGATGGGAATCCAGCCCCTCCCCCTGTCATGGCAGAGAGCCGTGACAGGATCGAGAGGTGAGCGAACCTGGTATGTGTTCGCTCACCTCCTGATCTACTGAGCCGACCTGCGACAGTCTCATTGTCACAGGTCGGCTAGAACTATGAGGTGAGTGGAAATCACTCATCTCATAGTTCTCCTTTAAGTTATCTGATCGGCCCTAGACACATGTAAAAAAATTCTCTATGATTAGATCAGCATTTCTCAGCCTTTTTTCAGTCACAGCACCCTTTAAAAGTATTCAAAATCTCAACGCACCCCAATCTAAAATGTAGCGGTTCCTCAACGCACAACACAAAAATGTATGGTTCCTCCCTTCACATCAGTCATACCTTCATATCAGAGCACCCCTGTCAAATTAGAGTCTTCCTTTACATCAATAGTCCCCTTTGCATTAGCAGCCCACTCCTTTCAAATCAGGGTCCCCCCTTCACATCACAAGCCCTTCTTCATATCAGGAGTCCTCTTCATATCAGAAGCCTCTCTGCACATCAGGAGCACACTTTTACACCCTTTCACATCAGAACCCCCCTTTATATCAGAGCCCTCTCCTTTCTTTGTATATCAGAGTTCCCTGTTCACATCAGTGACCTACCAAGGAACCTCTGAGGAAGTCAGAAGGCACCCCGGTGTGCCACATCACCCTGGTTGAGAAAGACTGGATTAGTTAACAATATTGCATAGCATTCCTTTCATAGCAGAGTTTTCAAAATATATAAGCTTAAAAACATAAATAAAAATGAACCCAAAACCATTATATTTTCTCTTTAATATCAATATTTCTGTATATCTCTGTGTAGTATCAAGAAGCTGAATATATTTATCACATAATGAATGTTCTTAGACGCCAGGCCTTTTTCATATCATGTTTGTTGTAATAAATTACATATGCAACAGATAGCACATAACGTCCCTTTATTGCAAAAATCAGAGTTTTCAAATCAAATAGAATTGCTGCTACAGAGAGAAGTGAAGACCATAGCTGGAGATAACTGGAGTTTTCTTTATGAGCGCTAAGATAGAAGAGTAACTTTCATGACAGATTACATAGCGTAGTCAGAGTGCAGTTGTTCATACATTGATGGACCTACTATCAGGTGTACAGCCAATGGAATTTCAGCATCATCTACATGTTCACAATTTATGTTTAATATATTTTTTTATTATTTCTTCTATATAGTCTTTCTTTTACAAGGATTTAATACCATGACACTGGTGCCACGGAGCCATTAACTCGTTTTTAATGAGAGCACAAGAGAAGATGTTTCCTTTCAGAAAGTCCCTCTTTAATCTAAGAGGGAGGGAAGAGAGATGAGTTGGTTTTTCAGCTTCATGTGTAATCTGAGCTTCAGATAATTAGCTCTGTAAACAACAGGTTCTTGAGAAAATAAGTCTAGATGGGAAAAGGAGCCTAAGGTTCAACGTGCTGCCTTTGAATATGCAACAATAAAATATGCTTATCTGCAGGGTAAAACAAGAGAAAATCAAGCTGTGTGTGGCTTGATTTAGACTTCCTAATAATGGCTCCGGAGGATGGGAGGTGTAGGAATCTTGACTTTAATGAGGTGAAGATCTTGATACTAGAATCAACAAAGGATTTATTGCACCTGTGACTGGTTCATCCAGCATCTTTGCATAGCTGAATTATACATTTTGCTAACCTTTTGAAGCCCATTTCCATTGAAAATATGTACCGTATCTTCTTTTGGAAAAGCAGGAAAGGTTGGAGCATCTGCCATGTTTTTATTGTAGTTTTTAGTAGGATGAAGAAGAGTTAGAACCTATGACAATGTTTTAGTGCTGTTTGCCGCTGTCCTCTGCTTGTGAAAAGTACACCCCTTATTTCTTGTATGGGCATCACCAAGACAGGAAATGAAGGAAACTCTCCACTATTGGGTCAAATACAGAAATTAAAACCCAAGTGTATTTTTCACATAACCCTACTCTTTCCAAAACTAAAGTTTTAATTGCCAGTCTGATTCATCCAAACCCATAGTTGTTGACATTCCCAGAAAGGAGATCACCTTCCTGTGAAGTGAGAGTAAGCAATACACTACATGTGCCATCTGCCATAGAAATCTGTGTGCTGAATCCTGGCTGATGGACCATTCTGTGGGTTATGGTGGAGGTGTGGGACTACTGTAAAATTGGGGACTGTCCTGTAAAAAAAAAAAAAAAGAACAATGCTAAACTTAACATATATATATTTTAAGAAAGCTGAACTTGTTTGCTAGACTTGGCCTACTTGCTGGTCTAAACATTTAAACCCCAGAAGGGACAGACTCATAAATATAACTTTTCATTTCAGTTTCATAGTAGCTGTCAAAGAAGATGGCACTCTTCCTTCACAGAAGAAAGAGTAGGCTACGTCACCAGCACACCGAAATCCTTATAGGATGAAAAACCATAGATTTATTGCAAACTCGTGTCAGTTACACAAGCGCTTTCAGGGCCACGCAGGGTCCCTTCCTCAGGCGTAGCCAGCTATGCTTGGTGAAGGGACCCTGCGTGGCCCCCGAAAGTGCTTGTGTAACTGGCATGAGTTCGCAATAAATCGATTTTTGATCCTATAAGGATTTCGGTGTGCTGGTGACGTTTCTGCAAGTACTCATCCTTCACAGTCACACTTGTAGCACAACTTCAGTTATATTTTCACATGGATTTGTAGACTTAGGCATTGTAAAGATGCTGTGCAGTCTGTAGCAACCAATCTGAATTAAGTTTCCTGAAGTATAATCAGTGAAACATGAATGCTGATTGTTTGCTGTAAGTTTTTTCACTTTGTGCATTGTTTGTTGTCTCACTGAGTAATTGGTAGGCCTAAAACTAGGACTGTTCCAGGTTCTATATCTTCTGTTTTATATTCTTCATGTTTCTAACTAGCATTTGAGCATTTCTATATGAAGTGTACTGATTCTGAAATGTATACCAATTTCAGAACACATGAGTTTGCATTGTATGATTAATCTTTCTTTTTTTTTCTTGACAGGTCAAAAAATTCTTCACCACAGAAGCGATGTCTTAGAAACTGTAGTTTTAATAAATCCTTCAGATGAAGCTGTCAGTACAGAAGTAAGTTATTTAGGTTTACTTAAATGCTGTCTATTGTTTAAAGAGACACTTCGGTCTAATTGAAAAACTGGATATTGCTATAAAAAGATAAAATTCCGTTCTAGTTGTTATAATTTCATCATATACAGTCCAGAATCTGTACGCACTCATATTGCTTCCTGCATCATTCTCTTTGATGGTGTTTATTTAGGAAATCAGAGTAAGACCTTATTGGGGACATCCTCAAATATTTAATGCAAAAATGACAATGTAGCTTAATGTGTAAATTGTGCCTAAACCTCAATCAATTGCCATGAAACTTTGCACAATCTTTTTCGACTTTCCAAGCCTATCCTAGAAGTTTCATGGATTTGGTTTCCCACAAGGCAACTGAGTGACATTAAAGTATAATTAAACGCTTTTTTTTTTTTTGCATATATCTACTGCTAGCAAGCGGTAGATATATGCAAAAAAAATAAAAAAAGTTACCAAAAAGATTATTACTTACCTGTGTCTCCGCTGAAGATTTTTGAGCGGGTGAGCAGCATGATGGGGCGGGCGCATGTGCAGTACAGATCTTCAGTGGGGAGAAGAGGTGAGACCCGCTGTAAGTCAATGCAGGCAGCCGGGAGCGTGCACACCGGATACACACCGTGGGACAGGAAGAGAGAGGAGTGTGCGGTGGATCAGGGCCCTAGTTCACACTAACTTAGATGAGACATGCTGTGGATGTAGCCACACACAGTTGTTAATTTTTAGTGTTTTTGTATATGTCCCTGATTGTTTTTGTCATCTGAACCCAATAAACAAAAATGTGTTGTTGCTCTTCCTAAATCACATTGCATTATATTTTTCGTTCCAGAAAAATACTGTTTAATGGAGTTCTTCTTTACAGCAGCTTCATAACCTAACTTAAAGTGACACTAAAAATACCTTAGTTAGAAACAATAAATGTCTCTTATTTGTGTATCACTCAGCTATAGATCCTCCAATCATCTCTGAATTGGTGCTGACACTGTCCTTCCTTCTGGAGGTGATTTACTTTTGTTCCCCATGGTCCCTGTGTGTGTTGTAAGGTAGTCACCACTCCAGGTTCACTCCTGTAGTGGACTACAATCTCAATACAAATTAGTAAACGAAATGTGAGATTGTAGTCCATCACAGGAGTGAACTTCGGAGCGGTGACTACTTTACACACACAGGGACCATGGGGAACAAAAGTAGCCACCCTCCAGAAGGAAGACAGTGTCAGCACCAATTCAGAGATGATTTGAGGATTTACAGCCGAGTTATATACCGTACAAATAAGATACATTTTTGCTAATAGTTAGGGTTTTTGAATGCATTTCTAAGATATAACTCTTGAGTTTAGTGTCACTAAAATAATTAATATAAAATAAAATAATCTTTTCACTGTGTAGGAGGCACCAAAAGGTACCAAACGGTCAAAGCTACCTTCTTCTTTGCAGTGCCACCTGACCACCCCAGAGCTTCTATACATATGCAGAATTTTTTAATCAGATGCCAAAATTAGGCATACCCCCTATAGGACAGCTTTCAGGCCTGTTAATGGATTATCCGGGCTGAGAGCATTGTCATTCGGGGAGCATTCCCTTCAATCTTGTGTTTTATTTTCAAACGCGTCTGGTGGCCTTGTTAATAATGGAACAATGTTTAAAAAATGCTCTGGTGCTTCATTATGCGTACTGTCTAGGGGGTGCCTAGTTTTATGGGTTTTGTGAAACTACAGGGTTGCTTTCATGTTTCAGGAAATAATGTTATTTATAATTGTAAGTAATGAACATGTTATGTAACAACCTTAATTAGCATATTATGTAACAACCTAAACTTAGCCAGTATAGTTAATGTATTATGCTAGAAACCAAAGGTTTTCTTTTAAAGGATGACATCACTTTTTTCTTATTATAACCTGCATTATACCAGGGACATGCAGTCAGGGGAGGCAGAGCCTCACCTAGAATTATGGAGCTTTTTCTCCATTCAGATTGGCATCAGCAGTGAGGAGCAAGTGAGGGACAGGGAGGCTTCTCCCTGTCTCCTCTCTTCCTCCTTTACACTAGCTTGGGGATGGTTTGGGGGTGGGGCTTTGGTCGGTGGGGCTTTGTCCGGAAGGGGTGGGGCTTTGGTCAGTGGGGGAGGGGCTTCAGTCAGCGGGGGCAGGCGGGACGTGCTGGGGGCGAGGCCGGGGAATGCCTCACCCGGAACTAGAGGTACCGCACGTCACTGCATTATACAGTACTTAAAAATACATAATTTGAATTTTTAAGTATTTATTTGGACAGATATCTTTGTTTAACTAATTCACCAATACCAGCATTAAAAGGTCATATGGGAAGAGCAGGTTACTGCAAGGGCACAAAATTCATTGCTGGGTTTCAGAAAAGATGACTAAACTAAAATTCATGTCTAACATTATGATCAATTTAGAGGTCTCAGCTGTATCGATTTTATATGGAAGCCTGAGTTATTATCTAGATACCCTTTGGAAATGTGATCTTGTGCTATTAAAGTAGTCCACCTGGATCAGAAATGCATCCTATTAAGTTCCTCGCATATACTACTAGAAAGGAAATGGTCATGTGGTGGTAATTTGTACACTATTCAATATACACTCGCCGGCCATTTTATTAGCTACACCTGTTCAATTGCTTGGTAACACAAATTGCTAATCAGCCAATCACATGGCAGCAACTCAATGCCTTTAGGCATCTAGATGTGGTGAAGACAACTTGCTGAACTTCAAACCGAGCATCAGAATGGGGAAGAAAGGGGATTTAAGTGACTTTGAACGTGGCTGAACATGGTTGTTGGTGCCAGACAGGCTGGTCTGAGTATTTCAAAAACTGCTGATCTACTGGGATTTTCATGCACAACCATCTCTAGAGGTCAGAGGAGAATGGGCAGACTGGTTTGAGATGATAGAAAAGCAACAGTAACTCAAATAACAAATTGTTGCAACTGAGGTATGCAGAATACCATCTCTGAATGCACAACACGTCGAACCTTGAAGCAGATGGGCTATAGCAGCAGAAGACCACACTGGGTGTCACTACTGCCAGCTAAGAACACGGAACGGAGGCTACAATTCACACAGGGTCAAAAATATTGAACACTGGAAGATTGGAAAAACATTGCCTGGTCTGATTTCAGCTGCGGAAAGTAGAAATCACCAGCACTCAGTAAATATCTTTGATGTCCATTTAATCGGACAAATCATCAGTTGCCATGTACAAAATAGCGATGTTTCAGGACCGCACAGGATGCCTTCATCAGGGTGACAATGTGACATTGTCGCCCTGACGAAGGCATCCTGTGAGGTCCCGAAACTTCGCTATTCCGTGATTGTCACTGCGTGCACCACTACAAGTACTTGGGCTGGGAGCGATGTCAGGAATGGAGAGGGACTTACTATTTTCTACGTTGATTTCAGCTGCAACATTCAGACTGTAGGGTCAGAATTTGGGGTAAACAACATGAAAGCATGGCTCGATCCTGCCTTGTATCAATGGTTCAGGCTGGTGGTGGTGGTGTAATGGTGTGGGGGTATTTTCTTGGCACACTTTGGGCCCGTGATGCTATCATGTCAATATGGACCAGAATCTCTGAAGAATGTTTCCAACATCTTGTTGAATCTATGCCACGAAGAATTAAGGCAGTTCTGAAGGCAAAGGGGGGTTACCTAATAAAGTGGCCAGTGAGTGTATATGCTTGGCCAAGGTAAAAGTCAATTCAGGGTACACGTAAAAAAAATAGCACAAACAGAACTTAATTTCATTAAAATCTGAATAACACCAAAATGATCTGTAGAAATAGGCACCTAAAGGTATAGGCAAATCTTGACTTCTCCTGTAAATGTGATATTACAGCTATTCAGCAATTCCTAGACAGCAGCTGTGAAAACTCTGTGTAAAAATCAACTTTACCGCTCTAGTTGGAGCTTACATAGGGCTGAGGTCTATCTCCTTGCCCCCCATGTGGCAGCACTAGGCCAGTCACCAGGCACCATCACTGTCAGCTGAGAGAAATGGCGGTAGAGGAGGGATATGTGCTACTTGCAAAGGGGGCATTTCAGAAAACATTTTGCTTTGCATGGACAAATCACTGGTTTGCTTTAAAGACAACGTGTTAGCATAGATCTAATTTAAATATCCTGTGCTTAGAAAATGCCATGAAACTTTAACATATCTATCTATGAATCTTTTTCACATCACATAAAGAAGTCAAATCTGGATGGACTGTATGTACTTTTGTTTGATTGTTTTATTAAATACCTTCAAGGAACTAAAACATGCATATATGGACAGCACCGTGGCACAATGGCATTGTGGTTAGTACGTCTGCTAACCAGGGTCCCCGGTTCAAATCCTGGTCAGGTCACTATCTGCAAGCAGTTTGCATTGCACACTCCCTGTGCTTGTCTGGGTTTCCTACGTGTACTCCAGTTTCCTCCCACACTTCAAAGACGTGCTGGAAGGTTAATTGGCTCCTTTCTAAATTGGCCCTCTTATGTATGCATGTGAGATAGGGACCATATATTGTCGGCACAATATAAATACCTGTAATAAATAAAATATTTAGATCTATCATAAAAGTCATAGCATTATAGATAGTTGTGATCCATATTAACTGTGCAGTAGATGTTAGTATAATGGTAACAAAGCAAACATTCTTTGCATGACACTATGATAGCATTCACTCTTTCATCTTTCCCCACAGGTGCGATTGATGATTACAGATGCTGCAAGACACAAACTTTTAGTGTTGACCGGACAGTGCTTTGAAAACACTGGCGAACTTATTCTTCAGTCCGGATCTTTCTCTTTCCAAAATTTCATTGAGATCTTCACAGATCAAGAGGTATGACATGTCATCAGCCTGATGAAACTACATTTGTATGTTACTTTAGTGATGATTAAAACCAGAGAGGAGAATCTAATTCCTGCTAAGACTAATACTTTTCCTTCTATTTTGGGACATATTGATGGATTGCAAATTGCAAGTTACAAGTGGATTGCAAATTGTTTATTATACCACTTTTGTTACAGTATTACAATTATAATAGAATTTTAGTGGTAAACTATAGTATAATGCAGAAACAGCAGCCACTTTGTTTCAGTTGCCTTATTCTTGTGCAGCATATTTTTGTAAGCATTTCATGTCCAAAAAAAGGAATGAAGGAAATCTGAACTAAACGCTTATAGGTGCTGTGCTTAACGATCATGCCTTGATTTACTGGTGAGAAGCACTGAAAGAGTTTTTATAGACAGTCTGCATTATTTGCATTCCCCAGGAGCCATTCTAATTTTACTTTCTTAGTAATGAACTGAAAAGTCTAATGGAAGAAAGTTACCTTTAAATTTACATAACATTTCCAATATATTTTTTTTTTAAACCAGATTGGCGAACTATTGAGCAATACACATCCCGCAAACAAGGCAAGTCTTACACTCTACTGCCCTGAAGAAGGACACTGGAAGGATTCCAATTTGGACCGACACAATCTTCAAGACTTCATAAACATCAAACTTAATTCCTCATCAATTTTGCCTGAAATGGAAGGGCTCTCTGAATTCACAGAGTATCTTTCAGAGTCAGTAGAAATACCATCACCTTTTGATATCTTAGAACCACCGACATCCGGAGGCTTTTTGAAGCTCTCAAAGCCATGCTGTTATATATTCCCAGGAGGAAGGGGAGATTCTGCTTTGTTTGCAGTGAATGGATTTAATATGCTTGTTAATGGTGGATCTGAAAGAAAATCTTGCTTTTGGAAACTCATTAGGCATTTAGACAGAGTGGATTCTATATTGCTTACACATATTGGGGATGACAATCTGCCAGGTATTAATAGTATGCTTCAAAGAAAAATGGCTGAACTGGAAGAGGAACAGTCCCAAGGGTCAACAACCAACAGTGACTGGATGAAAAACCTAATCTCTCCAGACCTTGGAGTCGTGTTCCTCAATGTACCAGACAATCTGAAAAACCCAGAACCCAACTTTAAAGTTAGAAGAAGCATAGAGGAAGCTTGCTCTACTCTTCAGTACTTAAATAAACTCTCCATGAGGCCAGAACCTCTATTCAGAAATGTAGGAAACACAATTGAACCCATTATTTTGTTCCAGAAAATGGGTGTAGGAAAACTTGAGATGTATGTGCTGAACCCAGTTAAAGGTAGTAAAGAAACACAGTATTTCATGCAGCAGTGGTCAGGTAGCAATAAAGATAAAGCTGGTCTAGTGCTTCCTAATGGTCAAGAAGTTGAGATTCCAGTTAATTACTTAACATCTATTTCCTCCCTCATCGTATGGCATCCATCAAATCCTTCAGAGAAAATAGTTAGAGTTTTGTTTCCAGGGAATACAACCCAATACCAAATACTTGAAGGCCTTGAAAAGCTCAAACATCTTGACTTTCTAAAACAGCCTGTGATAACACAGAAGGATCTAAGTGACCATATATCGAGCCCTGCAGTGAAACAGGCAAAGATGAAACAAAGAGCTGAAAGCAAGGAGAGCTTAAAAATGCCATCAAAATCAGCATCCAGTAAACCAAGTAAAAAAGAATCAAAAGAAGAGCCAGCTGATGTAGTCAAAAGCCAACCTGATCAACCAGAAAAAGTGGAGAGCAAGGAAAAAGCTTTAGTGAAAAAGGCTCAAAAAACTGAGGCTAAAACCTATTCAGAGAAAAATGCTGTGAACAAAGTAGAATCAATAGTTAAGTCAGAAGTGGCAGAGAAACAGAAAGCAGATGTGAAACCCAAAGCTGCAAAAGAAAAACCAGTGAAAAAAGAAGTAAAGGCAAAATCTGAAGAAGTAAAAGAGGATAAAGAAAAAGTAAAGAAGGACAATGTAAAAAAGGAAGACAAAATACCAGTTAAACAGAAAAAGGAAAGTAAAGAAGACAAACCTAGGAAAGAAGTAAAAGAAGAGAAACCCAAAAAAGAGGTTAAAGAAGATAAACCTAAAAAAGAAGCTAAAGAAGATAAACCTAAAAAGGACACCAAAAAAGACATCAAGAAGGAAGAGAAACATGAGATAAAAAAGGAAGTGAAAAAAGAAACGCAACAGAAAGAAGTAAAAAAAGAAGCAAAGAAAGAGGATGCCAAAAAAGAAGCTAAAAAACCTGCTAAAGAGACAAAGAAAGCAGCAGCAACACCATCAGATACTAAAAAGCTTGCTGTTAAGGCAAAGGCCCAAAAGAAAGATGAATCCATCAGTAAGGAATCAACAGCTCAAAGCAAGTCAAAGGAAAAAGGAAAGGTAACTAAGAAAGTAGCTGAGAAGAAGCCCTTGGCAGCTGCAGCAGCAGCTGCTGCCACTGCAGCTGCGACTGCGGCAGTGTCTGTTGCTGCTTCAGCAACAGCAGCTGGAAAAATAAATGATATGGTGGCAGAAAGATCTCTCATGTCCTCTCCTGAAGATTTAACAAAAGACTTTGAAGAGTTACAGCATGAAGTCGTCATAAATGAAGAACTGAAGTCCCACCTTCAGGCTCTGTCACCCACAGATGAACCAGTCATAGTACAGACTGAATCTTACATCATCAAGAATGAAAACACTAGCAGTGAACAACCCGCAGATTCACCAGATGAAGGAATAACTACAATGGAAGGTGAATGTGAGCAGACTCCAGAAGAACTGGAAGTAATAGAGAAACATAGATCTGGGGACATTGACAAGTTTGAAGATGAAGGAACTGGATTAGAGGAATCATCAGAAGCTGGTGATTATGAAGAAAAAGCGGAGACAGAAGAAGTCGAAGAACAAGTGGAAGATATTGAAGACAGAGCCTCATTGGTAGAACATCATACTGGTGAGTTTGCCGAAACTGATGAAACTGAGGAAGAGGTTGAAATTGATGTAGTTGAGCATTTGAAGGGTAAACATAAATACATTATTGATTCTGAAACAGCAGAGGAACAAGCTGAAGAAGACATAGATGAAAGTGCTGAAAAGGTTGAAGAGGAAGAAACAGAGGAAGACAAAACAGATGATGCAAAGGATGATGAAGAAACAGAAAAGCTAGAAGCCGAAGACCTTTATCTAACCGCTATAAAAGACAAGTCAGAAATGGTTAGTGATGCTGAAGATAAGTACATTCCGTCTTCAACACCGTCCAAGACTTCTGAGCCCCAGTCCCCAGCTGTTGAACCCGGGGCTTCAATTCATGATGAAACTTTACCTGGTGGCTCTGAAAGTGAAGCAACTGCATCTGATGAAGAAAATCGAGAAGATCAGCCAGAGGAATTTACTGCCACATCTGGATTTACTCATTCAACTATTGAAATATCTAGTGAACCAACACCAATGGATGACATGTCAACACCCAGAGATGTAATGAGTGATGAGACAAACAATGAAGAAACTGAATCTCCATCTCAGGAATATGTCAATTTAACTAAATATGAGGCCAGCTTGTATTCCCATGAGTTTGACAGAACTAGAGTGTCTCAACTGCCTGAAGGGTTGAATGGGTTATCTGATGTGTCTAAAACAGATGCTACTGATGGCAAAGAATACAGTGCTTCAGCTTCTACTATCTCACCGCCATCCTCCTTAGAGGAGGACAAATTTTCAAAGTCATCACTGAGGGATGCATATACCTATGGGCCCATTGAAGTGAAAGGTTCCACAAATCTTGAAATTCAGGATGATTATGAGCTGGAAGAAAAATTAAGTCCAAGTAAAAGCCCAGCTCCTCCTTCACCAATATCTAAAACACCTTTAAGTGAGCGAAGTGTTAATTTTGATCTTACTCCTAATGAAATAAAAACATCAGATCTTGGTGTCCTACCACCTTTATATGACCATGAAAAAGAAATAACCGAACAGTGTCCTTCCCCAGATGATAAAACTATTGAAGTAGCTTCTCCTTCTCAATCTGCCGCTGGAAGTGCTGGGCACACACCTTACTATCAGTCACCAACTGATGAAAAAGCTTCAAACTTACCCACAGAAACACTGGAAAAAACACCTGTTCCTATTGTCTTTGAATTTACTGATACCAAAGAAAAGAGTGAAAGTCCTAAAATAAGTCCCATGGATGAGCCAGTGCCAGATTCAGAATCCCCAATAGAGAAAGTCTTATCTCCATTGCGAAGCCCACCATTGATAGGATCAGAGATGACCTACGACAGATTTTTAACTACTACTACTGCTAAATCTTCATCTGGACATGGTAGCACTGTTGATGAGCATTCCTCTTCTCAGATTAGTCCTGTATCTGAAATGCTGTCTGATGCCATTTCTCAAGAACATGGTGAAAAGTGCGAGCTTTTCTCTAGTAAAGCATTTGGTGTAGAGACATCCAATGTCCTGGATGGTGGAAAGCTTGCAGGGGAAATTTCTCCCACTCATATAAATACCAATCCATTTATCTCATTTAAGGAGGATACAAAAATGTCAATTTCTGAGGGCACTGCATCTGATAAGTCTGCCACTCCTGTAGATGAAGTTGTGGCAGAAGACACATATTCCCACATTGAAGGTGTTGCCTCAGTCTCTACAGCCTCTGTGGCTACTAGTTCATTCCCAGAACCAACCACTGATGACGTATCACCTTCACTTCATGCTGAAGTTGGATCACCTCATTCCACTGAAGTGGATGACTCCCTATCTGTTTCAGTTGTTCAGACTCCCACCACATTTCAAGAAGCTGAAATGTCACCATCTCGAGAGGATTGCCCACGTCCAATGTCAATTTCTCCCCCAGATTTCTCACCAAGAACAGGAAAGTTCTCAGCATCACTGCAAGAGCAGCGATCACCAGAACAGTCAACTATGGAATTTAGTCAGGAATCACCAGAACAATCATTTGCTATGGATTTTAGCAGACAATCACCAGAGCATCCTGCAGTCACCTCCAGCATGCTCCACATATCAGAAAATGGACCAACTGAAGTGGAGTACAGCCCCTCTGACCCTCATGAATCTTATTTTGGCAATAAGATTTCAATGGACAATGAGTTTTATGCTGTAGACAAACATCAACAACACTCTGGAAAAGCTCATGCAGAGGGTTCTCCCTCAACTTCCTCTGCACACTCACAAGCTTCTTCTCCTTTAAAAGAAGAGGATTCCTTAAAAGATGTGGTTGAGAATTGTGACATGCCTTTGTATTCTCCACCAATACTTGAGCAAGATTATTTTAAGGATGATAAGTTCTCCCCTGGAGCAGATGATTCTCTATTAACTCCAACACAATCTTTACTGAGACAATCCCCAGGCTCAACAGATCCTGCACAGAAGCTACATTTGAGTGAACATAGTTCAGCAGCCCTATCATTAGCAGCAGAGGCTGAAGAACCATTAAGCTTTCAGGCAAGAGCGTTAAATTCAGTAGTAAAGGAACCCGCAGTTCTCCATAATACAAATCCCTTTGCTTATGCAGTAGAACTTGATAGCAGAGACAACATATGTGATGCTTATTCTTATTCAAGTGAAACAAATGACCGATTTTCTGCCTCAGACAAATCACCTTTTGCGGAACACCGGCAAGAGGTTGACCTTTGTCTTGTGTCTGCCTGTGAATATAAGCACCCAAAAACAGAACTGTCACCTTCTTTCATTAACCCTAATCCTTTAGAATGGTTTGCAAATGAGGAACAAGAACAAGAACAAGAAAAGCCTTTAACTCAACATGGAGGAGGGCAGCCTCCTTCAGGAGGGAAACAAAAATCCCGCCAGTGTGATGAAACACCCCCAACATCTGTAAGTGAATCAGCCCCATCTCAGACAGATTCTGATGTCCCACCTGAAACAGAAGAATGTCCTTCTATAACGGCAGATGCAAACATAGATTCTGAAGATGAATCTGAAACCATCCCAACTGATAAAACTGTAACTTATAAACACATGGATCCTCCCCCTATTCCCATGCAAGATCCAAGCCCATCTCCCAGGCACCCTGATGTCTCAATGATGGACCCGGAAACTTTTCCTGTTGACCAGAGCTTAGGCAAACCTATGAAAAAGGACATGAAGGAAAAAGGAAAAACCAAAAAAGTTGGAAGCAAGACAAAATCATCTTCTCCAGGTAGGAAAGGTGACAGCAAATCAAAAGCTGCAGCTGCTTCACCGAAACCCGGGCCTATCAAAGAAACCACGGAGAAGAGTGCAAAGTCTGTAACCCCCAGAAAGAAAGATTCAATAGAAAAAGTTCCAAAGGTTACCCCAAATCAAGATCTCAAATCATCAAAAATTGAAGAGAAAGATAAAGAGGCCAAGAATGCTACAAATATAAATACGACAAAATCATCTAAAACTGGAACCACAGGTACTGTAATTGAATTGTATATTATGCATTATTTAGTGTTATGCATTATTTAGAACTGTATTATTAAGAAGAAAGAAAGTAAGGGATTTCTGCCAATGTTAATTCATTGCATCCTTTCATACTTATAAAGTGCTGCTTTAATCAAAATAGGAATTAAAGGGAAAGTCAAAACACAAGAAAAAAAAAACATAGTTCAATAGGGAAACCCTCAAAACATGCATTAGAAACCTTTACCTATAAAAACAAACTGAAAGTACCATAAAACTATCTTCAAAAAACAGTTCACACCATCCCACAATCCTGCTTTCTATTTCTAATGTTGCAGCCTACGAAGGACATCCTTGAGTTGGTAACATGATATGGGGAGGGGATTTACACTGCAAAACACTCAGCAGTACTGATTCAGGGAAGTTCTGAGCTGTCAACCTCCATGGGCAGATGGATTGCTAAGAGGTGCTGGTGCCACAATTGTGTCCCCACTCGAGAGGGCTAAATATTCTAGCTCATTAAAGGAAAATGATTTAGCTTACTTTAAATTCAAAATCCCTCAGGGCCAACAAGAATCCAACAATAACCCATGCATTATTGGTAATAATCATTATATGTCTCACATGGGGGATTGAACTCAAAACCTCCATGCTCCTCTTAAAGGAGAACTATGAGGTGACTGCTTTTCATTCACCTCATAGTTATAGAAGACCTGTGACAATCTGAGACTGTCACAGGTCGGCTCAGTAGAGCGGGAAGTGAGCGAACACATACCGGTGTTCGCTCACTTCTCGATCCTGTCACGGCTCTCTGCCGTGACAGGGGAGGGACTGGATTCCCACTTCCGCGCTCCGATCCTCCAGCGCTGACTGGCGGAACGGACGGGGAGGGGGCAGGTACAGCTGGCTCTGCCTCTAGATAGACAGAGCCAGCTGTCACTCACGCAGCTGGGTGGATCCAGACATAATTGTCGGGATCTGCTTCAGCTGCGGCGTCTCAGTATACCGCGAGCTGTAGCTCGCGGTATACTGAGCTTAGGATGACGGGAGGACGCTAGTTTGTGTCCTCTCGTTACCCTAAGCAGAACTATGGGGAAAAGACCTGACCCCATAGTTCTCCTTTAAGTGAACTAACCAAGCAATCCGCCCGGATCAGCTCTCCATGCCCCCTAGTGGTTTGCTCACTTAATTTCAAATGATGTAACTCCTGACACCAAAGTCAGATAATCATAATAAAGATTCACTAGCTCACTGGGATCTAGCATCAACTGTGCAGGCATAGAAGGTGTCAGAATTACTCAATTTTAGTACTTGGCTGCAGCGCATACAGAAGGACAATACCCACTAGACCTGTTCTCCAGCCCAGGGGTCCCACCACAAAAACGCTGCCTGTATTATGATGAAACACTTCTCCCTCAGGGAGTGCTGAGGGAAGTATCCTTCTAGAACAGGGCTTAGCTGTTTTGATAGATATTGACCCAAACCACTAATGACTAATGTGATAATGAAAATCCCTGAGAACCATATACCTTGCAAAACATCAAAACACTTTTGCAGCAAGGCTGTTGGGAAAACATGTCCCTACAAATATATGAGTAAACCATGTAAAAATGTCAAAGTCCAATCTAAGATTACTTTAACATACTGTATGTTAAATAACTAAAATATTTGCTCACCAAAAATATGCAAAACTTTCCCTTACAATATACTTTTGTTCTATCATTTTACTATGCTTTTATAAAGGCCATCTAAAGTATGCACAGAGTCATTGTTTTTGTCTCAGCACCAAAAAACTATTTTTTTTTAAACTTCCTAAAATGGTTGCATATGTTCTGTAAAAACAATACACAGAATATTACCATTAACAGAGCTATTTCTGTTCCCTAAAACAAATGTCTCCATAACCATTTTTTGCCTGCCCTCTTACAGAGGTACACTAATCTGCTCTCCTGCCAGTCTAGCAATAATGTGCAGAGACAAATGGAGGAAGAACAGGAATGTGTTGAGCAGATAGGTAGAGTATACAGCAGAGAGGAAGCTGGCAGATATAACAACTAATGGTATGTTAGCTGTAGCAGGGGTGCTATATTTGCATAGCATTCCTTCATAATTGGATTTGGCATTTCCGAATTGCAGATTCACAGCAGACTTAAAAACACAAAACAAAAATAAGAAACAAAAGACAAAACATGAAAATGTGGTACAATAACAATCACTTATTCATCTCTGATTTTAGGAGGTGCATCTGCAAAATCTTCGAAGACAGCAGCTGTGCCCCCAGGCCCACCGGTATACCTAGACCTGGTCTATATACCCAATCACAGCAGCAGCAAGAATGTTGATGTGGAGTTTTTCAAGCGGGTACGATCCTCATACTATGTAGTGAGTGGAAATGATGCAGCAGCTGGAGAACCTAATCGGGATGTACTAGATGCTCTTCTAGAAGGCAAAGCTCAGTGGGGAAGCAATATGCAGGTAAATATGTACAATTGAATGTTGTTTATGCCTTATTTCATATTTTCATTAAACAATTCATGTTATGATGGTCACTAATGATCACTGTTAACCTCTTAGGAATCTCTCATTCCATTTTGTAGCCACTGGAAAATTCCATTAGTTGGATTATTTGTCAGTTTTTTATTGCTGTTTGTGTCCCTGCTGGGGAGACTCAACCTCCCTATATGTCCTGGTGACCATTAGGGTCCTGCTGTAGCGACGCACGACCCGCGACAGCGACGGACAGAGCCCCATTGGATTGCATTGGAGAGCGATATCGCGCGGTAAATAGCCACGATATCGCGGGAATTACCGCGCGATAAATCGCTCAGTGGGAACGGGGCCTTATAGTATGGATAAAAAGATACAAAATTGCACAGCTGTCGCTGTTACTGAAGATGAGACATCTTCCAATGAGGACACATATTTTGGTGATAGCTGTCCAAGAAGGGATTTCCCCTTTCTTCTGAGAGATTTCACCCTTATTTCTATCATGTCCCCAGTACAGTAATTAAAGGCAAAATCACCCCAATGGGACAGCTTTACCCATTCCCTATTTTTATTGAAAGATAAAAAAAGTTTGTATTTATATATTGTTTAAAGGGGAATTTACCACAAGATGAATACCTTTAACCTCAGACTTCCCTTTATAGCATGGTACGATATATCCTGTAGGGTTGTCCATCTGATCCTTCAGTTTCATGACAGGTGATGCCACTGACCCAGAATATGTAAGCAGACAGTAGAATCACAACTCTTGAGCTGCATGCATATTCTAGGTGCTTTCACGTGTAATGAGGTAAAAGGAACAGCTTTGTAGTCCTTGCTGCAGGAAGAGAGTATGGTGAACGTACTTCTGTTCACGAGAGGATCCCTTGAATCACAATGCTGCTATGAAATTATGGCAAATCCAGTTGTCAGCCGAAAAATACACGCTGAGTAAATGTAAAGGTAATTGTAAAACCCATTAGTAAATTGAGCTGTCAATCACCATTGTGCATCACTTACATAATGGGTGGCTTCACAGTACAATGAAGGTTACATTGGAAATGTCATAAGGGTGGTATATAGAGTCTTATGTATCGATTTACTGAAAACATGTACATATGTTTTTCAGGTTACGTTAATTCCTACTCATGATTCAGAAGTCATGCGAGAGTGGTACCAGGAGACACATGAGAAACAGCAGGACCTCAATATAATGGTGCTGGCTAGCAGCAGCACTGTTGTTATGCAAGATGAATCTTTCCCAGCATGCAAGATTGAACTGTGAGGAGACCGCTACTCATTGCCGCACCTTAACACAGCTGATTAATGGAAATGTCACCTAGAGATTACAAATAACTGCAGAACTATATATTGCCCAATGCTATCCTGTGTCTTGCCAACACAGATTTTAGTTTTATATATATAGATATATATATATAGATATATATAGATATATATTGCAGATACACTGCAAATAACATCCTCACTAAGGTCTTGTCAGCTTGTGATTTTCATCAAAGATTGCATTGGACGTTCAGTTAATACTATCTATGACCAGAATAACGGGGTCTAAGCCTTTCTCCCTCCTCCCAAGTTAAACATGAGGGCATAATTTTCTATTCAATCATATTTGGCAAAATGTAGCAAACATTAGGGTTGTCACATTTGGATATGTAAAGCATTGCATTATATGAATAGTTTACCTGCTGTAGGTCAAGTCATGCTAGTGAAAGTCACTAAGGAACACATGGGCACCAAAAATACATTGTGTCTAAGGCATTCTTCTACTAAATTCACCTTGACAGATCTCCTTACATTACAATTCATGGTTGGTACACAGAAAGCAAAATACCAAAGCTTCGGGGAGTACATTCGGTTTGACAATTTGCCTTAGAAAGTGACTTGAATGTACAAAGATACTTAATGCACTTATTTTTAAATGTAAGTTGGCAAATGTACAATTGACAGCAGTATGCAAGTGTGTAACTGCAGAGGTGTCTGCATGCTTGTGTTGGGATTCAAGAGCTAAGCTGATGGGATACAACAGAATGGAGATCATTTGACCAAAGCTGCATTGATGTGCAATGAGTGGCTGTTGACCACTTTGCCAGGCAAGTTGAAAGTCGAGTTGCATTTTTATTTTTATGGTTACCGATTGCCCGCCTTTGTCATATGCTAGTTCGATTTTTTATTTTATTTATTTAACAATTATTAACAACTGTACAGATCCCATTTTTATTGTATGTAACGTACAATGCAATTGAGTTTGGCAGTTTTTTTTAAAGAAAAGGTTGTTATTTCTTGCAATTGTATAATGATTAGCGAATGTTCCTTGTTTGAGGAGTTGGGATGGGCAAGATTAGTATTTAGAATTTTCTTTTCCAGTATACGTTATAATCAAATTGTTTATAGACTTATGGATGGCAGAGTGTTTACATGTGATTCACTCGTGTATCATGAATCACGATGTTCAGAATTAAATTGGCTTTACTGCAAAATGGCCTTGTAGTAAGCTATTTGCGTGTCCTGAGCCTATGTTCAGGAACACTGTTCAAAAACAGTTGACCGCTAGTCCTAGAGAGGTGGTAGGATGTATTATTAGGTTGCGCTCACAAAATGGTGCACTATATTGTAAAAAGTTACATCTTACAGGAGATCAATTGAGCTGGGTGGGGGAGCATAATGTGTTGATAACACTATTGTGTCATCTGTTATGCTTTCAGGAATACAATATGCCTGAAATCCCCAGTCTGAATGACTTCTGGGACCAGAAGCTTCAGTCTCTATCCACTAGCTGTCAGTCTGCAGGACAGTCAGGGAAGGAGACACAGGCTAACTGGTGCTGGAACTGGCTTACCCTGAGACATTCACACTGTAAATCAACAGAACAGGGGTACACATTGGACATACCAATCCTTAGCCTACAGGTGCATCCCACATGGAGTTCTCCTTTAAAGTTTTTCTTCATTCCCATGCTTAAATCAGTGTTGGTAACGGTCAGGAAAGGAAAATCTAAATATTTTATTGGATAAACCAAATGCATAAAAAGAAAGTAAACTGCACGACCCTATGTGATATATGTAAGATGTAAATTTGCTATGCCACTTTTTTGTTACTTTTAATTTTTTGTATATTTATTTAATATGGTATTATTTGCACTGTTTTGGTACTGTTTTGGACTTGTATAGTCCACTTAATGCTGTGAATTAGGACAAACAAATTTATTTTTATTGTAGGGAATTATATTTATTAATTTGCTGTTGGTGTAAAAAATACACAACATTGATAGAAAGATTCAGTCTTTTTGCTGACAGTATTCAATTTGCTTAGCTAGTCTGGCACTGCCTATGGGCACTTGTTCTATCAGTTCACACAAGAGATCCATAAAATCCTGAAAAATACAGTGGTATGATCCTAACACAAGACATACAACTGTATAGCATTAGCATTCATGACAGGGAGCTAAGAGCTATAAAAACCTATAGTTATACCCTTTGCGATATCTGCCTTCAGTTTCCTTTGCACTAGTTTTGTTATTTTCCAATAAATAGTTGTGCTTATCGTGAAAGCAGATTGCTATAGGAACAACGGGAACTAGAATGCAACCTGTGTTCTAGGTAGCACCTAAGTGTTTTCCTACCTAATGCCCATATGTACGTATGCGTACAGAAGTATAGAGGGGTAAATACAAAAATCATTACAAATATTTTATGGTCTTCCCTAAGATTTCTATTTAACTTGGCATTTTAAACTGGATATTAAATCATTTGTTTAAACACTCTCATTGAATAAGTAGATATTAACAAAGCAGTGTAATGCATGTATTGATTAATAAGGTAGTTCTGAGTGCAGTGACTATGCTTAACATCTAGTAATCCTATAGCATACAATCCAATCTGACAACAATAAACTGAATTCTTATTAATTACTATAGGTTACTGCATTGCACTTTGCTTAACCTTATTAAATAAACTGATATCTTTTGTAAGGCAGTGAGTCATTTTCACTGTTTGCCAATTGACAGCTTTGAAGGATGGGTAACTGTGAACCCTGTGAAAACATTTATTTACTGCAGAAAAGATACTTTAAAACCTGCCAAACTAAACAAATATCAAGCATCTCATAGCAGAGTTAATAAAACTCTCGAAAGCAAGAATTACATGACATCAGCTACTGATCCATGGAAACTGAGTTCTCACCAAATTTGTCTTCATCCTGCATTGAAGACACACTTCCTAAGCCTGGCAAATTTAAGAGAAGTTTCATTCAGCTACTACAAAAATACAACCGGAGGATTTAAAATTTGCCCATGGCTGGCGGAGTAATACTTTATTGAAATGTGCAAACAAACCTTATCAGAACGGGAATGAATGTAAATAATGACTGTATTAGTTGCAAACAACTATTAGGGGTCATAGTATAGATTTATTTCTAGAAACCATCAAAATGAATTTGTTTTATAGGAATATTTAGTGATTGCAGGACAAGGAGTACTATGTATTGATTACATTCCAAGTGGACAGAGTAAATTTTATTTCTTTGTAATTGTGCTATGAAGGGGTTGTGGACAAGTTAATATGACATGATATTGATATAAATTGTATCAGGGATCTGATGTTGCTTTTGAGTCTCATGTCCTGGAAGAGGGGCCAGCGTGGTTGTTGTCCATAGTGACTAATCCAATGGAAAATGTATAATTTACAGGAAGTATCTGTTTGGCTGCTATGGTCAACACATCCACTGGTGTTTTGTCCAGCTCTATATATGTAAGTAACACTGTCAGGGTTATTCACAAAAGGGTGAAGAGTTTGGGGAAGGCAGGAAAAGTGAACAATCTAGGACAACCTAGCTGGAATGGAGGATTTTTCCAAATAAGCTATGTTGTCCTAGATTGTTCACTTCTCCTGCCTTTTCCAAACTCTTCGCCCTTTTATGAATAACCCCGTGTGCTTCATAAATGTATAAGGTGTTACAGAAGAACCAACAAGAAGTGATATAAACTGTATCCAGGTTCTGCTAATAATGATTGATCTTTCCTCTGATGAACAGGTGGATATAATAGAAATATAGTTTTAAGTTGTAGGAAACACAATGTGCCTCACTTATAAATCCTGCCGAAGAGGCCAGTGAAGGTGTTGCCCATATTAACCATTCTAATACAAGACTGAGTTCTTTGGCCAACACCTTTGCTGGGCCTTCCCATCAGATTTCATACAAGCGGCCCAATATAAGTGGAACAGATATCCACATGCAGTGAGAGCAGCCATACTTTGTGCGCAAAACCCGATTCAAAGAAATACAAGTTCTGCTTCATGACTAGTGACGTTGTTATTTTCTATTGGGATTGGATACTCACTGGGCACACAAAATGGTTGTCTTCATTGTATGTTGTGTGTCCTCTGTAATTTTCACAATGCAGTAATTTGGTAAATGAAAGTTAGATTGTATGTACTAGTGTGCTTTGAAGTAAAATCAGAACAAACTCTAATTCTGCCTGTTTATTATTTATGGGCCCACCCTGATTGGTGGGTAACTGCCATCTGTTGTCTGTCCATACATGGGGACAACATGCCAAATGCAAAGATATCAAAGCTTATCTAAAGATAACAAACAAACAAACAAACAAACCCATTCTCCATGGCATTTGTTGGAAATTAGGCTATAATGAAGAAGTTAATAACATGCTATGAAGTAACTACAAATTGCCTACAAATCTTTCTGACCTCTTAATTGTTCAGATTATACTTTTTTCAAGGATAGTTGTCCAAAGAGTTCAATAGAGTATATGTTGTGGCAATAAGTACTAATTTCAAACAAAACACCCTGCAGCCTCTGGGTTGACATGCTCATCAGTAAATAAGTATTTTAAGTTGCTTAATTTTCCGAAAATAATATTTTAATAGATATTAGCATTAGAGGTTTATAGCAAGTAAGATATTTGCTATATAGGTTAGCCTGCTGCCACCTAAAAAATAAAGCCCTAATTAACAGAGTCTTAATGTGTCCACCTCCATACAGTAATATACAAAAACTAGCTAGGTGAGCAGGGTTGGGTTGATTCCTCTTGTTGAACCATGCTTTCTGTGCCATGGAAAGCAATCTGCTGAAAAACAGCTGGGCACTTTTATAATACACAGACGGAAAGTGTCTTTGTAGCGCAAAGCAACAAATCAAATGCTTGCTGCTTATATTTTCTCTCCTACACTGGAGTAATGGTAGCTGGTATCTGATTGGTCAGTGTAAGCAGCACAGACACTTATCTTTCCTCCAGCTTCTTGAACCTTAAAATTTAATTTGCTCAGGTCTTCACCAGGTCAAAAATGAACAATAAACTAGATTAGCTGCTATGGACTGTGTTTTTGCACTGATTTTGTACTGTTTTCAGCTTCAGAGCACATTGATACCTACAGTATGATATCCAAAAGGAATGTGCAGTTGTACTCTTGACATGTATTACGCTTTCACAATACTGGGAAAGAAAGCAAATTCCTCTTTTTTATATTTAATTTGTAATATATGTAGACATTAACTTTATGTATTTGCAAGCCAATATCTCCACTCTTCTACAACAAATCGGTGATCAGAGCTGTTACACATTTGATGTATCTGAAAAACCGTTGAGGACTTGGTAAAACCAACACAAATTGTTTACTTACATTCTCTGGAGCAGCCAAACAAGTAAACCTTAAAAAAGACTTTATACATGCTCAAATTTACAAGTGGGATAAGTGATGATTGACAGGTGTTGTCTTTTTGGAAAAAAGACTCGAAAGACAAGGATTTTCTCAAGCTTCTCTGCACTACTCTAGCTTCTAGGCTCTGGATGCTATGGAGCCGCAGGTAACATTCCCCCCAAGACTGGGCTGCACTAACCAAGATACAATGGCAACTCTGAACTATGCTTCAATACGTATGCATGCCGCTGTCTATCTCCCAATTGTCTGACAGGAACTTGTGGCTGGCAGGGAAGGTCCTTACACTCCTCTCTCATTCTGAATGGTGTTTGTGTCGGTCTGCAGCTGTGTATGGTATTGTCTTATAATCCCACATCACCTCTACTCTACCAGTTCATATCTAATGTAGAACATTAGTTTACAGTGAAGTAATATGTAGTGCTTTTATGATATTTGTGTGCAATACCCCACTTCCACTGAGGATATTTGATGTAAAGGAAACAAACTTGGTTCCACAATAAAATACAAATGTAGTAGTATTTATCTCTTGTGTTTTTTGTATTATTTATGTGTTTTTTATGTTTGAACCTTTCACAAAAATTCTATATAAGCATATTTAAAAAAAGGTGCATTTTCCAAGCCCCCTATTGGTACTGTTTTGTGATGGGGCAGCCTTCAGACCAATAGGCAGTATTGAGAGATTGGATGTGCAGTGCAAAGCTCAAATTATACAAGAAAGATGAGATATGCATATATTTTCAGCTGCCCGCAACTCTAGTTTTGCGGAATGCATTCAGTTAAAGTAGTTGTCACATATGTCATGTACCTGAGGTGAGACTGTAGTAGTGAGGAGGCCTCCCTTGCACCTAGGGTCTTGAGGCCTCTGGGGATGGCGGACACCGAGTGGCACGAGTGCCAGTGGTGTGGAGCACCGTGCAAGCCTATATCCAAGACTTGAGCCGAGTTCATGTCCAATCGGGCAATGTTGTACAAAAGGGTTAAGCAGAAGAATGGTCAAGATCCAAGCCAGGGTCGGTTCCAATCGGGCAGCAAAGTACAAAAAGGACAAAGCAGAAGAATGGCCGAGATCCAAGCCGGGGTCAAGGGCAGGCAGCAAACAAGAGTAGTCACAATGGTTCCAGGTCACAACAAGTCCAAACAGATAACACACCAGCACAGGAACAAGGAGAGACTGAAGATAATCCAGCAATTTGGCAGTGTCCAGGCTTATATAGAGGAAGTGATGATTGGAGTTTAGGTCACTTCCTGTGCGCCTCCTGGGCCCTTTCCCGCCTTGCTGAAGGATGCCTTCTGCGCATGCGCGGGTTAGCGCAATGACGCGCCCTTGGCACATGCGCAGATGGCGCGGATTTGTTCCGGTTCGTGCAGCAACGCACCGTTAGCGCATGTGCAGTTAGCACTGGACTCTTACAGTAGTATTAAACGCTCAATTTTTTTTTTTTTAATAATCCAGATCAAACAAATATACATTGCCCAGCAAAGTATTTCTGTACATGTTCACCCAAGCACTTAGTCATTATGTTTCTGAACAGCTTCAACTGTCTCAGCTCCCCAGAACTTCCTGTTCAGTGCTAGATCACAATGGACAGCAAAGTCTCCAGCAGCTGTCTATCTACTAGCTTGGAGAAAGAAGGTGGAGGAGTAGTAGCAAGGGAAGTGGCTTGCCATGCTGTGCCCGAGTGTTTGTGGCAACACACACAACTTATAGGCACATATAAGGGTGACTCCATAGGACCCTGCAAGGGAGGGGAGCCACCCTAAAACCAGATATCAGAACCTGTGCTCAGGGGATCAGCTAATTCTGCAGGAAGCTGAAACATTTTTACCATCAAGAAGCAGCATCCATTGTAAGTGGTTTAATCAGCTTTTGAAGTAGCTTAAAAACATTTTGACTTTAATATCACTTTAAGATAACTTCTACTTCTGTATTTTTTTATTTTTTTTGTGTGGCCAGTTTCAATTGTCTGGGTTTTTGGCTAGTGTTTTTTTCCACTAGTTATGAAAACTCAGCAAAACAAACATATTGTTATGCATGTGGGCAGATTTAAACATCTTCCGCCCAGCTTTTCGCTTGGAAAATGGCATTCGCACGGCATTCCCACTACTGGAGGAAGCCAAGGAACAAAGGAATTTCTTATGCTCCTTGGCTCCATCTAGTGTCGGGAATGTTGTGCAAATGGCATTCAGCCAGAATATGGCTGGCTGGAAGAATGATAAATCTGCCCCATGGTGTTTTACACAAGCGTTAAGTGGCCAGGTCTGTAACAGATTTATCCATAAATGTGAGGGTTTTGAATTATCTGAGTGAGGATGGATTGAAATCTTATACTGAATTGATTGGGGAAGCAACTGAAAGGAGGGGACAATGGTTGAGATACATTCAGTTTCAATACTTTTATAAAATGGTTCAGAGCAGGGGGCAGACACATAGAGAAATGACATCAATGGAAAAACTGTGCCTGAGAGAAAGGGCACCGCAACATCTAGTTTCGGTCTTATATAACATATTGTTGTTATTAGCAACTCCAAAGATACCATATTATATAAGGGAATGGGAAAGAGAACTGAATTGCAGGTTCTCGGATAGAGAACGCATACATTTATATACATTGACACATAAGCTTTCGGTGTCAAGTAAATTACAGGAAGGAAATTTTAAAATCTTAACAAGGTGGTACCGTTGCCCAGCCAAATTGCATGCACTTTTCCCACAGGCCTCTAGTAAATGCTGGAGATGTCAACAATCGTCAGGGACAATTACACATATATGATGGAAGTGCCCTCGGATTAAACCTTTTTGGACAAAGGTATTAAATGTCTACGAGCATATATCCAAAACAAAAGTGGAGTGTACACCGCAGATAGCTTTGCTTTTCATTCTTCCAGGGGGGATAGCAACAGCAAAGAGGGGCCTCCTTCATTTTTTCCTAAGCGCAGCCTGGACAGTTATACCGTGGCATTGGAAATCAACAGAATCTCACACACTGCGGGAATGGATGGAGGAGAGGTTTTTTCAACAGAGAATGGAAGAACTAGGGGCTAGGATACAAGACGAACTCCCTCAGTTTTTTGCTACTTGTGATAGTTGGATCCAGAATTGTAAGGGCACTGAAATAGAAGAAATAGCAGGAAAAGACTCTAATATGAATTATATCAATCAAAATTCAAATTTGCTTACTTTTTGTAGATGTTCAATGTGTTAACTTCAGAATTGCCAATCCTCCTTCGAAATCACTCTCTAGGAGGTTGGGGGGAGTTTTGTTTCATAGAATTAACCCTGTTGTACTGTTACTGTGCTGGCAGATTTCATTATAACTTGTAAACTAGATGAGCAGGACTGTCTGTCCTAACAAATGGTTAAAGCCCTGAAGACATTTGGGGTTTATTTACTAAAGGCAAATAGGCTGTTCACTTTGCAAGGGAACTTGTACTTTACAGGGGAGGTTTCCTATAGCTTAGTGAATGTGGTGAAACTTTGTAAAGAATACCCAATCATGTGCAAGGAAAAAACAAACAGCATTTTTTCTTGAACATGATTGGGTGATGGAAGTCAGCAGAGTTTCCCCTCATTCTCCAAACTAAGAGCAAACTTCTCCTGCTAAGTGCAAAGTCCTTCTTCTGGCAATTACTACTCTTTCTTTTCCTTGCACATTCTAGGAAGGAAATGGAAAGAGGTATGCTGTTAGATGCTTCACAGATAAGTACCCTTATTATTTTCTCAGTTTAAAAGTAGAGATGTTAACACAGCTTGCTGTCTTTGTGCTCTTGTAATTAGGAAACATATTGCTAAAAAAAAAATTATGTAGAGTTTATACGTAGAGCTCAAGCTACAGCCTGGCCACATACAGCCCTCTCATACCTATTATGTGACCCTGGGCTGCAGATGTCAGTAGAAAGAGTAAAGTCATGGATTTGCAAAGGGGCTGTAGTCTCTAGCAGTCTCTGTAACATATCTCGTCTCCGACTCTCTTCTGTAACATGTTTCTAGAATTCAACCACACCTGTATTATGTCTGCAGTCTGAGAGTTGCCTACAGTATTACATATATTGAATATGTGTGGCCCCTGCGTGATGTCTGGAGCTATAGTAGTAATATTTCCAACAAATTGAGCAACGCTGGATTACAAGTAATGTATTACACAGTATAACACCTGTGTGATTAAGCACTGTTGGACGCAGCAATTCAGTAACTCATGTGTTGCATACTAGGTCCAGGGTAGTGACCAGTGAATAGGTTTAGCGTCTCAAATAAAAAATAATAGGCTTTTTGTACTCACCATAAAATCCTTCTCTTGGAGTTAATTGAGGGTATGGCTGTCAGGTTATACTGCCGACTGCAAGACAAATGCTACTGGCAACAAAAAAAATCAGAGCCAACACAGGATAACCCCACCCACTACCAGCATTTCTCAGTTTTGTAGCAAACGAGTACAGAGAGCATGAACATAACAACAGAGTGGTGAGACCTGTGTCTGTTAAAGAACTCAATGAAAAAGTATTTTATGGCGAGTATGAGGACACAGGAATTCTTAGACTGTTAGTACATTCAAAAACAGTCCAACAGAGGGGTGGGCAACACAGTAAACAAGCGATAACAGACCGAAGAAACAGCAGAACATTGTGGATTGCCTACAGCTCCAAGAGCTGCCTAAAGGCCCCTATGCCAGAAGCTGGCATCAGATGAGGCGTAAAGCCACCTGGAAAAGCTTAGAGAATGTGGGTACAGAAGACCAGGTGGCAGCCTTCCAAATCCGGGAAAAAGTTGCTTGATGCCAAAAAGTCCAAGAAGCGCCCACAGTTCTAGTAGAGTGCACCTGATTGGCAGAGGGGTCCTGACCAAATCAGAGAAGTTCAGTGTGTCTGTGTCGGATTTAGCAGAGGGATGGATGTTTGTGACCCATGGGTCAGAGATAGTCCCCAACAGACATTTGAACCAGACCATAATGGCCCCCTTTACACAGGAACCAAGTGCAGAGGGAACACCAGTATAAACTGGGAAAACCTGTGCCCTTGGCTGACTGGAAAAACTTAAAGGATTTAACATGTGATGATGTTGAAGTTACAAAATGCGTTAGCAATGTAGCATGATTACAGCATACCGATGTAGGTCTCATTGGCTGTTCCCCCTACACTTACTACTGGAGACAATATGCAGCCCGTGTACAGACTCATTTGAATGGTGGACACTTTGATCTTTGGCTCCACATTGGGATGCTTTACATGAAGATGCTGGGTGAGACCTTTCCATACATTGCACTTTATGTATATTTTGCACAAGGACTATATGATGTGACAAGCATTTTGATCGCATATGTGCAGTCAATTATGGTATCGGTTGTATGAAAGTGGAATATACAGCTGTAGGGATCCACATTTGAGGTACTCTTAAGGACCCCCAGCCCTTATCTGTGTGAAATTGTGTAGCAGGGTGATTCGTAGCAAAAACACCCCAAGATGCATAACGGCACTGGGATTGGATGTAGTGGATTAGAGTGTCCATCAACACGGACACATGTGTATTTGTACATCTATATGATCCCTACTTTCATTTTGATCCCAAGTATTTCTTCATGTGTTCCCTATATGCATTCCATCGCAGTGGATGGACATACACTATATTGCCAAAAGTATTAGGACACCCCTCCAAATCATTGGATTCAGGTGTTCCAATCACCTCCATGGCCACAGGTGTATAAAATCAAGCACCTAGGCGTGCAGACGCTTCTACAAACATTTGTAAAAGAATGGGTCGCACTCAGGAGCTCAGTGAATTCAAGCGTGGTACTGTGATAGGCTGCCACCTGTGCAATAAGTCCATCCGTGAAATTTCCTTGCTACTAAATATTCCACAGTCAACTGTTAGTGGTATTACAACAAAGTGGAAGCAACTGGGAACAACAGCAAATCAGCCATGAAGTGGTAGGCCATGTAAAATGACAGACCGGGGTCAGCTCATGATGAAGGGCACAGTGCGCAGAAGTCAGCAACTGTCTGCAGAGTCAATAGCTACAGACCTCCAAACTTCGTGTGGCCTTTAGATTGGCACAACAACAGTGCGTAGAGAGCTTCACGGAATGGGTTTCCATGGCCGAGCAGCTGCATCCAAGCCTTACATTACCAAGTGCAATGCAAAGCGCCGGATGCAGTGGTGTAAAGCACGCCGTCACTGGACTCTAGAGAAGTGGAGACATGTTCTCTGGAGTGACGAATCACACTTCTCTGTCTGGCAATCCGATGGACGTGTCTGGGTGTGGCAGTTGCCAGGAGAACGGTACTTGCCTGACTGCATTGTGCCAAGTGTAAAGTTTGGTGGAGGGGGGATTATGGTGTGGGGTTGCTTTTTTGTTTTTCAGGGGTTGGGTTTGGTCCCTTAGTTCCACTGAAGGGAACTCCTAAGGCATCAGCATACCAAGACATTTTCATGCTCCCAACTTTGTGGGAACAGTTTGGGGATAGCCCCTTCCTCTTCCAACATGTAACTCAATATTGAACCCTACGGACTAAGACTGGGATGCCATTAAAGTTCATGTACGTCTAAAGGCCGGCGTCCCAATACTTTTGGCAATATAGTGTATATCCTTTCTTCTGGATGGGAGTTCTGATGACACATTATCTGGTTTTATTTGGATTTGTTGTTGTGATCTTTGATGTAGCCAGTGTCCATTTCTCCCATAGTTGGCAGTATAACCCACAGTCTAAGAATCCCTGTGTCCCTCAATGGAAAAGAAAGAAACTGCCACAAGACAGAAAATGGACATTTTCATCAGAGCCTAATCAGAGATGTTTTTCTTAAATAAAATGATCAGCACAATTGCTTTTCCTCATTAGCACGGCGGGCGCAGCGGTACGTGAGCAGCGTGTGACGTGTGCTTCAGGCCGCGTGTCGAGCCCCGAACAGGAAAATCAATTGATACCCGACGAATCGACGATCGAAAACGTTGGTAACGTTTTCAATCGTCGATTTTAATCGACTAAATCGATTAACTGTTGCAGCTCTACATATGACCAATAAATACAGTATTCAGTCAATTAGTTGTGTCAAGTTCGCTATGAACTTTAGGAAGCTGGGCTTATCTGTCAACAGTTTCCATGTCTCTCAGAGTACAACAGCCATTAACAGGACATTCTCATTGGACAGGGGCAGTTGAATGGGGCTTATTACC